ACCAGCGTGCTGTGTAATGGTTGCGCCCATGTGCGTTCTAATTCAGGTTTAATCGCGAGGGAATATGGGAAGCAGCGACATTGGCCCTTGTAACACGCTATGGCAGGGACGTCCTACGCACTAGTGTGTGTAATAACTGTGTATGTGCATGTAAACCTTAATCGAATTAAATGAAGTACGAATACTTAACACGGAAGCTGAAGCATAGGATTACGCAGCATGTCGAGCAAAATCAAACTTATGTCAGTTCTTCTCAAACCACATTTATAATGAAATCAAACACACTTTAAATTGATATCAAAACACATTTGAAACTTGCAAAATAATCAGATGACTTGCAAGCATGTTAAAAGCGTTATATGGTTAGATCGCGCAGATCCATCGACTTCTCGCCCTGCTTCTGGTCTCGAGCAAGATATTCAAGAAAATGGATGGTGTCACATTGGCTTTTGATATGTTTTTTTTTTGCGATTTCCTAAATGTGTCATGTTTATAGGAAGTTGTTCTAGTTGCATAAGTACTATGCTGTATTTTGTGTGTATTTTCAATCGCAAGTCAAGAACATCGTCTGTATAAAAGTAGAAATAAACATTATGTACGAGTCACAGTAGCTGGGAATAGGGATACATTTGCACTAAGCCTGTCTCTGCGATATACGAAACCGTACCAAATATCCAATTATGCATGGAAAGTTTGGAAACAATTTGCGAAGTCCAAGTTACCACATAGTCATGACGTACCGTGAAGCATCGCGTTCAACAAGGTCACACATCAATACCCTGAGATAAGTGGTAGGTGACAGGGCTACCGCCCTCTGGAACATCTAAAGGAACTACTGCAATGCCTCTGAGGGCATCTGAGGAACAGTTGCGCCGATCCCATGGGCGTATCAGCAGGCGCCACAGGCCTTCTTGCAGTCCTGCAGCATGAAGTCGGGATTGTTGGTGCATTCACCGATCTCGGCCCAGTCGGCGCAGTATTTGTTCTTGTCAGCGCAGTGGGCGAAGTCGCTGCCCAGGCAGAGGCCACACGAGTCGCGGCAGTAGATGCTCATGTAGCTCCAGTTGTTGGCGCACTCGCCGGACTTGGCCCACGAGAGACAGTAGGTGTTGTGGTCGGCGCAGGCCTTGCACGTTCCGCACGACTTGGCGCAGTGGACGTTCATCCAGGTGGGGTTTTTGTTGCACTCACCGCGGGCGCTCCACTCGGAGCAGTACTCGTTGTTGTCCTGGCATGCAGAGGGCTCCGGCGCTTTGGTGGGGCCCACCGCTCCGCCGCCAGTGCCCTGGCACTTGTACAGCTTGTTGAGCTTCTTGATGTCGATCTCGGAGAAGCCGTTGCGCTGTCCCATCTGGTCGGTGGGCTTGATGGGAGTGATGGTGCGCAGCTTGCGGTTGGCGGCGAACGCATACGGCCCGTAGTGCATGATGGAGGTCACGTCATACGGCTCGTCCAGGCTCTGGATCTTGGTCCACTCGTACTTGTGGAAGTTATAATCCATGCCGGAGATGATGTTGCCCCAGTTGATAATGACGTGGTCACCGCGGTCTGGACGGCTCTGCTCGTGCCAGAAGCCGGCTGCGTGCATGAACTCGTGCATCACGACTCCGGGGTAGACGCAGCCGTCGGCGAGCGAGAGCTCCTGGACGCCTCCTACGACACCAACGGCGCTGCTGCAGCCGGAGCCCTTCCGCACGTGGATGTAGTCCTTCTGCGTAGTGCGCGGCACGATCCGGATGCACGTGTTCTTCTCAAACGCCGCCACCGCCTTGGCGATGATGGCTCGCTCGCGCTGCGTGTAGCTCGACGAGATCAGGTACGGGATCTCCGAGTCTGGCCAGAGGCTGCCCTCCTCGCGGATGGCGTTGCGGACGAACATGTCGTCGCCGTCGAAGGCGATGTCTCCATCCAGCAGCACCTTAGTCGACTCCATGTGCGAGATGTCGCCCTCGAACAGGCCGGCCAGCTCGATGGGGTCCTCGGCTCCCGGCCCGGACTGAGGCACGTCATCGGGGATGTCAGCCGCTGCAGCAAAATCCTCCGGTGAGAGAGGCAGGCCGAACACGTCGTCACTCATCGGAACGGCTCTCTTTTCCGTCGATCGGCGCCAGCTGAGCGGCACCGGCTCCCCCAGAGGCTCCAGCATTCTCTTTAGCATCGGCGGCACGATGAGGGCCGAGCTGGAGGCCAGCCAGGCACACAGCAGCAGGGCTGTCAGATGAGGCATGGTGTGAGGGGCACGAGAGGGGCGGGGCAACGCGTCGGTGGAGGGAGGGGAGGGCTCAGAGGGGAGCCGTGTCGAGCCGGGTCGACTGATGCCCCCAGCGTCGAACGGACGCCATTTATACTCACTTGAAGCCACCATGAGGGTCGGCATGTGGGTGGAAAAAGTGCCGAATGTGGAAATTATGCATCAGAAAGCGGTCGCGGCGGGCGATGAACTAATAGTGGATCGATGCCCGACAGACTAGCGCCTGCATTCGGATGATGACCGAGGATGACGCCATTGCCCTAACGGGATCATGTCACTAGCAGTTCATTAATTATGCTGTGATTCAGCCCTCGCTCCACTCCAGTTTTGTCGCCCCAGTTAGAGATTTAAACACCCCTGTAGGCTGTAGGGTATGTCAAATGTGTAAATTAAGCGTCCTGTGTCTGCTGTCTGCTGTTAGATAAATAAATACATAGACGTAATTGTAAATGTTGCTGTTCAGCTGGGACATAGTTAAAGGGACCCTCCCACCTTAACATTAGATTTGAGTTGAGATAGCCAAAATGGGGTCCCTGGCTCACAATTACCGGTTTCGGCACTCACAACATCGAGAAATGCCTTAAATCGGAAATATTGAATTTCAAAATTGCAGCATTTTTATTCAGAGGGGCTAATGCATAGGAATACCCCTCTGAATGTGTGACGTCAGCGTAGATATCTAACGATTTTTAAATGTTTGACTAAAACGTTTCGTAGCACGCGGTGGTATATGCTGCTTTGCGCGCAGCAAATGCCGCACTTTCAGCTGCCAAACTATTGCTTCCAAATAAAGTCGCTAGGAACAGCGGAGATCCCAAAAAGTAAACAAAAGTAATATCCTAATATCTTGAAAACCGGTGAATATTTTTCGGTGAAATTTCGTAGATATTCGTTTTCGCTCTTTCTGAACCGGGCGACATCACTTTCATGCCAATTCATAAACGTTTTTGAAGGTGGGAGGGTCCCTTTAATGCATAAAATGTTGTTTTGACACCAGCTTTATTATTATATTAGTGTTTTGTGTGACTTGGCTGAAGAAGGGAGCCGACTTGCTCTTGAAAGCTTCCATTAAAATAATAAAGCTGGTGTCAAAACAACGTTTTATACATAAGTACATACACTTCTGTACATCTGTGTACTCGGCAGTTGGCACTGATACCTACCTATACCTGGATACATTCAAGATAAACAAACAGTGCAAAAATAGCCCTAAGCTATTAGCAACCGCAGCAATAATTTTTTTTTTATTTTAAGGCTACAGCATTTTAGGCTCGCAATTACTTTACTCGGGCAATGACGTCAAACCATGCAGTTCTTATGATGCCAACAAGCCAATTAACTAATATGTATCCACTTTTAGTCACTAGCTATTGGGATATACGTAAATACCAAACAGCTATGTACGTCGCCTATAAGTAAAAGTAAAGAAAGATAAAAAGTGACAATGAAGGTATAAGAAAACTCAGGATAGCAAAGTGCACCAAAAGGGAAAGCTGCGGGGCCTTCTCATAGCATATGAAATGGGTAGGCGCATTCCTTTTATTTCACGCAATCACAATTCAAATGTCTTTTCTGCAATATTGAATAGCTGTTTCGCGCTATTAAAATTTAACACGGACAAATATTCCACGCATCAGAAGAGTGAGACATTTTGTTTTTCTCACAGATAATAACAATATTTGCATTGTTATTGTATTGTCATTGTGACATATATAGCATGATTAATGTTATCTATGCCTGTGAGAAAAACAACATTCCACGCATCCCCGTTGATGAGACGAAACATTTCAAATTATGTACAAATGATATGTAAATACTCGTATTTCAAATCATCAATTTGGTGTCTACATGTATGTCGTGCTAGCAGGGGCGCGGGAACTACTTTCCGACTGGGGGGGCACACCATAATAGAGATTAACCTAGGGTACCCCCAAATCTAGTTTTCTCACCGGTTTTAGACCACTTATTTTTCACCCCTCGGCTTTTTCAACAAAAAAAGAAAACATTTGCAAAAAAAGTGTGGTATTCCGTCTCAAAGCTGTGGGGGCACCGCCCCCACGGCCCCAGAGTTGGGGGGGGGGGCAAGCTGCCCCCACTGCCCCCCCGGCTCCCGCGCCTATGCGTGCTAGTTAGGCGCAAATGTGCCGTTTTGCAGACGTATTTTGCTAAATTGAGGAAAAGCAGCTCAAACTGTTGCGGCCTGCAGTGCTCGTACCGAATTGTTCATTGATTCGAATGTCATACCCAGTACCTAAATCAATATTTCGATTGCGACAGCGTGCTGGTAAATCTTTGGCGAAATTTTGCATCGAGCCTCAAATCAAGTCCTATCCCGACTTATCGAGTCTACCGAGTTCTCTATCGAGTCCTGTGCTGTAACCTGAACCGTTTGCCGAGTCTTGTGCGAGTCACAACTCCGTGTATTATGTATGGGTCTGTTCCAGTCGCACTTCCTAACACCTCTAAACTCCTCCAAGAGCAAGATAGAGGAGGTTGGAGCAGGGCCCTCCTTGGCTTTGTAAGGGCTAGAGCTGCTAATGGAACAGGGAAGCAATCTTGGAGGAGTTTAGAGGTGTTAGGAAGTGCGACTGGAACAGACCCTATGAGTCGCTCTGGAGTCCAGTCCGGAGCAGCCCGCCCAGCCCGGCGCGCGCGGCGCGGTGAAGCGCGCAGGCCGTGGGCGGGGGCGGGGGCGGGGGCGGCGCGCCGCGTGCCACCATGAGGGCGGCGAGCGGCGGCCGACAGAACACCGGTACGTCTTGGCCCGGCCACAGGCGCAGAGGGTCGTCTCGAGCAGCGCCGTCCCGATCGGAGGACCCACGGCAGCGGCACCGCTCAATCGCCCACACAGCCATGGTGAGTGGAAGGCGGACAGGCTGGAGATGGGACTGGCACCGGCGGTGCATCGGGGCGGCTTTTTATTAATGGCATTGGTAGCAGCGTGCTGAATGACTTATGACGGTAAATGCAAGCGTGCTGAGTTGCTCGCGAAGATTTGTTAGATATTTGGACGTTCAATATTGAATCAAGAACGAAGTTATAGCCCTAATTGTGTTATTAGTTGCATTGATCGAAGTTCAATTATTAGTTTAATTGTAACAATATGCTGGCTATCAAAATGTGTTTGAAATCAGTATCGTAGCTCAGAAACTTTCATAAGCTTTTAAATTTATCATACTGCTTGCTTGTGTAAGATCACTTGCTTGCGATTGCTTGCTTGCTGTAAGATTGCTTGTGTTGGGCTCTAATCAAGTGTTTTCCTTCCTTTCCTTCTCTCGGATTAAAAACGCGTATTCCCATTTATGATTGTCTGAAAATAAGGCATGGGATTCTTCCGATATGTCATTCCTTGTAACTGGCCGTTGGATGCGTTATTTTCGGTCCATTAGCGGCTCCGCCATCAACTTGTTTGTCTTCCAAACCATTCGCTCCGAAATATTTGGAATGAGCAGTGAAATAAGATTTGCTGGCAATTGACGGGGGAGGCTCAAGGCTGCAGTGTTTTGGCTGCATCACCAGCAATTTAAGTCATGCCAGCTTGAAAACGCCAAAGCACTTATTTTGCGCATGGAAGCAAAGGCCAGCGTAACAAATACGTAATAACTGTGCTGATAGTCGTTGTTTTCTAAGTTTATACAAAAAGGCGTTGAAAAGAAAAACTAGGAAAAACTTTTGGTCACTGTAGTCTAATTGCAATGATAAAACAGACCCTAGCCAGATCTTTAGTCATTTGTTACGTCACTGCTTTCAGAACATATGGAATAGATCTACATATACATGAATGGTAATCTACCAATTATAGGTCGATTGGTTACTTTAGTCAATTATTCTGAGCAAGTCATTATGGCGACGAAGAACCCAAGAGCCTGGTATCTATCCCCAGACTATAAATAAGGCGCAAACGACGACTGAATGCGTGAAATTTGGCCAATCAGTGCTGCTTTCTTCAATACTTTTCAGTCCTCTCAGCAGCGAATAAGTTATCGAAGTGTCTTTGCCCTATGAAGCTGCTCTTCAAATGAGAATCTACTAAAATTGAACGCTGGTTGAATGCTCCTCATGGTTGAAGCCCTTAGGATGAAATTATATTTATGAGACTAAATTTTGAGTTATGAAACTAAATCGTGAGATGATAAACAAGGCACAAAAGTAACTGCACAATGCTTGCTCAAATGCATTTAGAACAAACCATTCAATAAGTTGATCGGTAAGCACGCAAAGTAGGTTATCTATTTTCTAGGGATCGATTAAATATCATATCAGCCTATTTGGCGCAGCGATGTAACTATCACCTCAGCTTCTTTGACATTTGCCTCCTTGCAGTTCCAGTCCTCTGACAGGGTATATTTGCAGCGATCTCTGACCGGTATCGCAGTGACCAGTGTCTTTCGCTCAAAGCGGCGCTTGGTTCGGCGCATCGTCGGAAGTCATTTTCTCACGACGTCGCCCGTGTTTCACATCCCACCAGCACTGTGTGAAACGGCTCACCCAATGTGTTTACGTAACCGCAGTGACGTCAGTAGCGAGCGTGATTTTTACGCGCTTTTCAGCCGATATCAAAGATAGCGTTGTTTTTCGAGCAGGTGGTAGACGGAGATCAGCCGCCCGGATGGATTCATCCTCGTGCTCACGTTAGCCAGGTACTTACGGACGTTACGTCACCGCAATCCGAGATCTCACACCTGATCGGCCGACAAAACTGGAGCACTCGTCACCGCCAGAGATCGCTCTACGGATGGGCTGACATCACTCGTATCATTGCAATCACAAGCTCTTACACGCTTCGCCTCAGGTCGTGCAAAGCTTGTTGCACTGGCTGCATGTCGCTTCCTACATCAGAGTGGCTCGTAAAAAGGCTAGTGACGTAACCAGGGGGTTTTTAATGTTACCGTTTCATAATTTGCTGGTAATCCTGCGGTGGTGTGTTTCTAGGCGAGGTACCGGGTGGAGGCGAGACTGAGATGAGATGATACTGAGGGTCAGTAAGCTACGATAACATAACTAAACGATGTTATCATTCTTTCCATGATGCATTAAACTTTTAAAAGCATGATCTGCAGGACAGCCAAAAAGCAGGAAGCATTTCACAACAAAAGCTGAATCACAAAATATAAGGTCGCCATCATGCCAACAAATCTGACAAAAACACAGACGCAATCTCAGGCCCAAGGTGAACGGAGTCAATCTAGATATCAGCTGTCATTATCATAGATTGCCTGGGCGTGCAATGTACATATGGCACATTCATCTTATTGTGGCATAACCTTCTCTTATTCATCTGCTGGAGCACGGTATATGTATGTCTTTCCGGGAGGCGGCATCCGAGGAACCTCGATGTTATGCAGCACCAAAGAGCAAAGAAATAAGCTCGCTGAAAGTTAACACCATTTGCTTGAAAGCTCTTTGTCATATACGTTGATGGAAAAGACTGGCAATAGTGTCACTCCTGATACCTATGACCTGACTCTCTGATCTATGTAGTCTCTCGTATAAGGTTCCATACGTATTACGTACACATAGGTGCTATCTGTACTGCGTAACACCTTATTATTCGTTTTTATGTACTGAGAGCGAACAAACACAAGCTTTTGAATCATGCATGCATACACAATACACATGTAAAATGATCTTCCTAATCAGCTTGTGAAAACATTCATAAAACATACACTTTAATATGCATATTGCAATAGACAATTTTAGTCCCACTGCACATGGTCGGCATTGTTCCGTGCGTCATGCAATAGTTTACAGTTTACACCTCAGTAGGCGGAACTATGGTCAAGCGTACCCATTTTCGGGAACGCATTTTCGTTCCCATGTTTGGGAACGATAAACCCAAATATGGGAACGCCATGTAGGCATTATTTAAAACAAGAAAAAGAACCGTTAAATGACGTCCAAAAAATATAAAACGATCGTGAACCGCCTGATCGTTGTCTCAATATTGTTGGGAAAGAGTTTGATATTGTAAGGCCCATCGTAGTTTCAAATCGTTCCCCTATTTCTAAAGCAGTCCATCACCCGGGCCGCGAGCCCAAATTTGGGAACGCTCTCGTACACTGGCGCTGCAAGCGTTCCTTATTATGGGAACGGCGTACCCAAAATTGGGAACGATTTCACCGACGCCTTTCAGGGGCTCTTTTCATTAACAAGCATCACGTCCAACGCCGCAAATTATTGGTAACGCAACAATCATCAGATGACCTTTCCGGCAAGACCGTTGCATGTTTCGCCCGGTCTTCTGCGCTTTTATTCCCGTCGATCTCGCAGCGGGCACGCCCCCCTCTGCAGGATTACGTAATCCACAACGCTCAGCGATGTTCAACAAGGTCTTCCATACCTATATCCACCGTCCGCGCCGAGGGTGGAGACATGTCAAGCACCTGTCTGCTAATCACCGAGAGTTGACGAGCACAAGAAGTATCCAAAAATGGGAACGCTGAATATGTTACACCCTCAAAACACCTAGTCCCAATGAAAATCTAGTTTTTTCCTTTCTTAATGAGTGAAAGTGGCAAAAGGCCTGGTAGGATGGGCACGAGGAATGATCGAAATCAGCATAAAAATTATAAATAAGCCACACAGAGCGACCTATATCAGAGAAATTCCCCCCAAACGATCATGCTTAGAAACGCCGAAGACAAAAACCACGCTCATGACGCTGCTTATAAAATAACGCTAAACAGCTAGCATCCAAATAAAATATGTCTTTCCGGGCTGATAAGATACAGCTGAATGATTTTAAACCACTGAAACTGAGTTTACAACAGTAGTTCGGTAAAATCACTGACGTTCCACGCGGTCGTGCGCCCCGACACCAAAAGTCAACAATATTACCTCGGGACTGTCCGCGTGTTCGCTTGCATATGTCAGCATCTGGTGTCGCTAGAATGAAACTTCATAACCAGGCGAAAATTATTATACTTGACCTCAAAATGTAAAAAATGCTTCATTTTCCTTTAAATTGCATGTTAAATGTCGTATAACCCATATTTCCACCATTCTGTCATTTTTAAAAAATCATTAAAAATATCATTCCACGGTCAATTTCCTTGTTCCACGGTCAGATTAAAGATAACTTTATGGAGATTTAGTAGATACTTAAATCAGCGTGCACTTTTTTGAGACGTGATGCACTTTTGAGTTTTAGTGGGCGAACGGCCGAAAAATTGCCTTCCGTTCTCATAAATGGGAACGCCCGTTCCCATATTTGGGAACTCCGTTCCCAAAAATGGGAACGTTCCTATATTTGGGTACTCATGACCATAGTTCCGCCTACTGACCTAAGGTTATGTTACAGTGACCGAAATAAAAATACAGATATACCACAATATCGATCGAGTTCATTTGCATCCCAGTGACGGACCACTCCATGTTAGAGCAGTGTGATAAAACAACCGATTCCGCGAGGCTATTTCCGGGCCAATCATGAGTTGAATGGCTCAGTCATGCAATGCTCATATGGGAAGAGTGCCGTTCATTCGTCCCACAGATCGACTTTGCCCGACTTTCAAATGGAACGTGAATTGAAAGATAAGCTGGCAGGCATAGATCCACACAAATGTCGTCTTTCAATGCTCATAATTTCGCGTATTTTTCTCAGCATAATCGAACGATCATGTTATTCATGATGTTAGCCTTGCTGAAAACACTGACCGCTGACATCCGATTTTTGCTTGTGATCTTTAAACCTAATGGTGTTTTAAAGAGCTCCATAAAATGCACGTGTAGCCTTTCATCTAATTATTATATACATTGGTCTACGGCTTTTCAAAGTGCGACCGTGCATGAGCTTATGTATATCCCAATGAAAACACTCTAACTTGGTGAAGTTTGGCTCTGCTCTTTAGCCAAGG